GGGGTGGGAGGATTTGGACAATTTCTTGATTTATGTGGGTTATCCTTGTGCAGGGGTCGTGCTAATCTTCCTCATGTCACTTCAATTTTAACGGATGTCCCAAAGGACATGAACCCTTGAATACATAAACCATGGTGTGGACCTGAATCACCTGATAGAACCTGTTCACAGACAGAATTATCGGTGTGTGTCCTACTCCTACCCGAAGAATCCCTGACATGCCAGGTCTGTCAGTACAATCAGTTGTTGTTTTGCTCAGAGTGACTGAGCCATTTAATGTGGGAGGATTGCATCATGGCAGGCATGCCTAGTGGTCAGCTAGATAATGAGTGGATTTGTGTGTGTGTGTGTGTGTGTGTGTGTGTGTGTGTGTGTGTGTGTGTGTGTGTGTGTGTGTCTATTGATGCAGAGATTCGCGATTTGAAGGATCTGACAGAGCGGATGAAAGCTGAGCAGGATTCTGTCTGTCTGTCAACAAGTATGGAGGCCGAGTGTGCTACAGTAGCTGCTTGGGACGGTGGTGCTGGCGTGGAAATCGTTGATGGTGACCAGCTGCAGCTAGGGTCCTTGTCGGAAAGGATGGACATGGACGAGTCCTCATCAGTTGCGCAGGAGGTCCTTCAGAATAGAGTGCAGGACGAAGGCGCAAGGGCAGAGGCCTTGTCTGAAGAACTTGCAGCCGAGCGTGAGCGGTGCAGTCTAGCTGAGAGTGAAACTGCATTGTTGAGAAGTCGAGCTGAAGAACTGGCAACTGCTATTCTGGAATACGAGATGAGGAAGAGAGAGTCAGAGCAAGAGGGCAGCCCGGTCTTGGCGTCAGGGGCGGACGATGTCCTCAGCCATAGCGGGTCTGCAATTCGCCAACAAATTGCTGCTCTTCAAATCAGTCTTAGGACAGAGTTGACGGCACGGCATCTGGCAGAAGCGAAAGTGGGAGAGCTGGAGAGGGAAGTTTCAGCACAAGCTGTGCGGTTGGAAGAACTAAAGCAGCACGCCAAAACGCTTGCATTAAGCCTAAAAAAGGGGCAGAAACTGGGGCAGCAGGCAGACGATCCTGAAGTCAGTCACTTGGAAGCCAATCTTGAGGGGGAGGAGCTGAATGGTGAAGAAGATTTGCTAAGGAGCGATGAGACAACTGATGAAGAACATTTGCTAAGGAGAAGGGCGGAGGAGATGGTCGAGGGGTTGGCAACAGAACTTGGCCTGCTATCGTCTGCTATGAGGCAGTTGACTTCAAAGTCACAGTGGAAGGTTTCGCAGGCAGTGAATGAGAGAGAGGAGCAAGTGCGGATGGAAGTTCTGCTGCAGCTGTTGCGGCAAGAACTTAAGCCACAGGGTGCCGGCCAAGAAGGCGGTGGTGGGGACGGGAGCCAGATGCCTGATGAAACTGCTGGGGAGGGAAAAGCATTGCAATCACAGGAAGAAGGGCACTGCCAAGAGCAGCAGCTTCAAGGACTGGAGCAGAGCGATGCACTGATAACGAACAAGCCACATATATCGCATGGCGAAACAATGCCAAATACAGAGGAGGGGCAACAGAAAACAGCGAACGGGGTCGTAGTATCTGCAGTTGAAGAGAAGGATGTGGACGAGTCCAGGGATGAAAGATTGGAGGAATGCAATTCGCATCCAAAGGTTGCACCTGATTTAAAGTCGATGTGCGCTGCAAATGAGGTGAGTCAAATAGATGGGGGGCGTGGACACCCATCCCTTGGGAGGAAGGCGCACTCGGAGAAAGGAAGAGCTCGATCGTGGGAAGGGATAACAGTGGAACAAGTTGGGCAAGATGTGGCAGAAGTCAGGTGGGATGGGAAAGAAGAAGATGCTGTAGAGAAGGGGAAATTCCTGAGCTTGTGTTTAGAAAAGGCTCTGAAAGGACAATCGATGGCACAGCAGCGTGTAAAGGAAATGGAGCAGAGAGTTCGAGACCTAGAGGCCAGTCTATCTGCTGCCCTCAAGATGAAGTCAGCTGATGTACCTGGTAGCCGGTATCGAAGAAGATTGTGGCAGCAGGGGATTCATGCTGTCATGCAGGGGGTTTTGGTGTGCTATGCCTTGTCTGATTTCATGAGCAGTAGTGTCTTCACAACCAAAGCCATTCCTTTCCCGACATGATGAACATTCTCAGTGATGACCACCCTGCCATCCATCCATCTTCAGCACCTCTCCCTGACATGTTTCTGCCTCCAACTGTTCCACCAGATCATGTCAGGTGGCCAGTCTTTTCACCCTGATTTTCCCCCCACCAGCAACCAACCAAATGCACATGGCCATGCAATTTAACACGTCCCAAATTAGTTGGCGAAAGATTGAGCGCAGCACCGTCATATGAGTGCGGGTGGGCATCTGTCACACCGCATGGCGGAGGTTCAACAGCCGCTGTGAATATTCCTGTTACCAATGGAGAGCTGTCGGTGTCCTGTGTGGCATTAGCCCATCCATGGTCAACGTGAATGACTGGTCAGCGAGAACGATTGGACACAAATCCATCCATCAGAAAGTTCATCCATAACGGAAAGTTCATCCCCATCAACAGGATTGAGGATGAGCAGCTGATCAGAACTTGACGAGTTCACGTAACACCCGAATTTGATGCTTATAACTTTTCACACTTTAATTATGGCCGTTACTGACAGGTGCAGGATGGGGCAAGCTTGCTCACTTCATGCAAGTCACGCTCCCACCATGCCCCTTCTTAACAACACGTCCTTTCCATGACCGAACATGGAACCACTTTCGTTATCTTCTCTAGTTACACTTGGTGGCTGTTGTTTTCGGTGAATTGCAGTGAATCTTCTGAAGCATTGTTGAATTAATAGCTGTTCCCAGCAGCTGCCATGGCTGGCTGCATTTTTTAATGCTGAAACTGTGATCCGGAAGTCCAATTGACACCGATCACTTCGATTCTAGGTTTTAAGCACAGAGAGAAAAAAAAAGAGAGGCAGTTCTGGAACAAGGGTCATTTTGGGAATTCATTGCTGCTGCTGCATCAAAGCCTATGATGGTGACCGTATTTCTCACCCCGCCTCGGGTGAAAGGTCGCAGCGCTGTGTACGGCCTCAGTTGCCAAACCCCTGAACTGTTGAAATAGAGACCTGAGTTCGAACTCCACTTGAAGAAGATGAGTGAAATGCTGCAATTCTGAATTACCTAGGGCCGGTTGAAAAAGAAAAAGGTCGCAGTGCTGAATTGGCCTTGAATCTGCCTTCAGAGTTGGAGTGGATGACTTCAGATGTCCACCATGTCATTGCTCTGTCTAGAGTGGCACCACCTTCGCTTGCGGCATACAGATGGACTCTATCGGCAGAGTTTCGCCAAACAAGATTATACTCACAGTAGCACTTGTCTACACATATCTGACCGCGGCCGGTCGTAAATGCATCTGACTGCAATCGCGACCACAGACGAGTCCAAGAAGTCCAAGTGTGAGTATGCTCTGGGAAACTGATGGATGCCAGTGCCCTGTCTAATCCATCAGCAGCCTACACAAACATGCTGGCAAAGATGCTGTGCCAAATGGACCTACTGCCAGTTCCGCTCCCCCATCGGAGCTGGTGCAGTTCCCCTGGTAAGTGTGCTTGTAAAGGCCGCTGGTGCAGTCCCACTGGTAAAGCGTGCTTGTGAAGACCGCACCATATGAAACGAGGTTGAAGGTTGGGACTCGGGAGACCTGCAGGATTGCCAGTTGCCAGAAAGTGCCAGAAAGTTAGTTACCTGCTTAGAACCCCTATTGGGGCCCCAGCAGCTGGAAAATCGGCCTGTGTATTCCCAGCGCGAATCATTTTGGCCTGCATGTGGCAGCGTTGGAAACGCTGTGATAATTTTTGTCGCTGGTGGAAGGTTCGTTTTTCGATCAAATTTGTAATATTTTCCCTGAAAAGATCAGGACCTAATCTACAGGCGCTGCACTTTTCAGAGGTTTTGGAGCATTCTTCTGAGAGCTAAAAATTGCCAAACTGGGTCACCTTTTTTTTGTTTTTTTGTGTGAATTGCCGCCGGCCTCCGCATCCCTTGGGCGTATCGGTCCCTCGTCCCCCTCTGACCGCCGCTGAATCACTGGGAAGCCAATTTCCGACTGTCTGGGGGAGTGGTGATTTGAAGAGAAATAAGGACATGGCCTCCATGCCAGATTATAGATGCGGGAGCACACAGCTTCCATGGATTAAGATATCTCAGTAGAGTAAGCACTCATGAAGCAGTTATTTTGGAGGCTTCCATGTTTGTTATTTTTTTCAGCAGGACTGGACATTTTGACCAACTGACAAATATAGTAACTATGCAGCCCAGCAAGTGGTCATCCTGTCCAGATTTCTGCTAAGCCCAAACTGTACATACTACATATAGATTGCGACTTGTTTATGCTTTAAACCACCAGTACATCCGAGCCTCTTTTGTACGAGGCGGTTTCCCCCTGCCCGCCAAGCTTTGCTGAGATGTCAGCGCAGCCTTTTTGTTTAACTTCAGCCTGGCACCGCCAGCCATTTTGGTCCGTTTGCTCCAAGCGTCCGAATTTTTCAGCGAGAGCCTCTCATCTTTCTCAAGTTGCCTGGGGCCATTTACTGGTGGTTTGGAAGAGGAAAAAAGATTGCAGCTCGTTTGCGAGTTAAAGAGAGCGTTGCAGACAGAAAGTTTGAAAACCGAAATACGCGGCATCAGAGATGTTCTGGTCCCAGGAATCTCCCAGCAGGGCCGCATGCTGCAGGTGCAATACCTGCCATCAGCTACAACAGCTTTTTCTCCTCCCCCCCCCCCCCCCCGGAAAACAGGGCCTTATGGTCCTGGCCCGTATCCATTCTGGGGACCAGCAGTCCGGTTCCTATATTCCAGCGGCAAGTCAATAACAACTTGATACAACATAGACTCGCTCACATATCTCTCTGTCCGGCAGAAGGATCCTTGGCCAGCATTGATTGCTCCCAGACTGGGAGGATTGACCGTCAGCTGCAACATCTTCGCACTCGAATCAATGTATTGAAATTTAAATGTGTTTTCTCGAATCGATTTGCTTTTCTGCATCTCTGCATAAAACTCTCGTTGATCATCCGTTCCAGAATTGGAGGTCCATTCGTCGAAGGCAAGGTCGTCTATCTGGTGGGAGACGGGCGCACTTGCAGCACCAACTCCTGTGCATCTCTGCGGTATTCAAACAAACAAGCCTTCCACACGTGTGCTGCGCACTCCTGCACACAGATGATGGACAAAATACCCCCTTCCTGTGTGTGAAACATCCCTACACTTGTAGAAATCGGTAATGTGAGAATTGGGCAATCCTGGCTGTTCGCGGTCCTATCAGCCCGACAGTTCGGATCGTCGTGCGATCTTATCTTCTTAAGACTTAAAGATTGCACGACGATCCAGGCCGTCCGCGGTCCTACCGGTCCGACGGTTCAGATCGTCGCTCGATCTTAAGACTTTAAGGTCGCATGATGATCTGAACCGTCGAGCCGGTAGGACCACGGACGGCCTGGATCGCGGCGCCCGTTGAGAAGAGGGCCTGTACGGGCCCGTGGGGAAAGAAATGCCCGTATCCTGTCAGGCATTGGCCCGTTGCAGGGCGGCGCTCTCACCGTAGTGGAGTACAAAGGCCCGTTGGGTCGAGGGCTTGACCGTACTGCCTTCTTTTGTGGAGGTGTGTTCAGCCACCATGACATCGCATTGGCGCACACACACATGGACACGCGCAACCGTGGAAATGCATCGTGGGGAGACTGTCAGGGTTCATCCTCCTGAAGAGTTGGTGAAAGTCCGACAAAACAGTCTGGCTCACTAAGGCTCTTTTTGTGTAGTTGTGCATAGTGACCATGACAACCCATGCACGCACGAACACATGCAAGCACATATACATGCATACAGAAACACGGAGTGGGCGGGCATGTGTGTGTGTGTGTGTGTGTGTGTGTGTGTGTGTGAGAGAGAGAGAGAGAGAGAGAGAGAGAGAGAGAGAGAGAGAGAGAGAGAGAGAGAGAGACCTCCATCTTGACCATGCGGAGTGATGATGAAGATGACCTATTACAACAAGGTAAAATCATAATGACGTTGACTAGAATATGGAGACCAGGACGAGGACTAGAATATACTGAAAGGAGGTTCTTCCGTTTTCTTTTTTTGTTTAT